GCCACAACCCGGTCCATGCTATCCTTGTTCTCCTCTCCTTCTCTTCTATTTTTTGGTTCTTCAGATGTTTACTATTCTGCATCCAGTGAACTTAACTGGTTCTTACTGGGATTTTTCTGGGGAGAGTTGGGTTTTGACGTAGCTCCTTTTTGCATTTTCTTAAATGCTGGGTTTTCCCCAGGCTGACTGATATCTTCCATTTGTATATCAACACTGCTATATAATACAGTTTGAAACTGGATTATATAGTCAGTGTAGACTCAATATTAATGCAGTTTAACACCCCTTTAACCACCATGGCTCAATGCTATGGAATCACGGGAGTTATAGTTTTACAATCTTATTAGAATTCTCTGCCAAAGGAGCAGGTGCCTCACCAAATGGCAACTTCCATGAGCCACGGAAATTAAAGTGGTATCAAACTGTATTAATTTTATAGTATAGATGCTCCCTAGGATCAGAGACGGGAAATTTCCAGGTATTTTGGACTACAGTTTCCATTATTCCTCTCCATTGGATCTGCTAGGAGAGGAAGCTCAGGGATAAGTGATTTATCAAATGCCGAAGTGGATGATGAAGGCATTGCAATAGACATTGCTTTGGTCATAAATTAGAATGAAGAATGAAGCCAAGGAAAAGCAGAAGTCGACTAGGATTTGGAAGGATTTAAGAAATGATCCTCAAGTATAAAGACAGATCATTAAACACCAAATGATGGCCTAGTCTTTATTTCCATGTTTGGAAAGCTATGCAGTGAAGAAAGCTGTACATGCGAGAGTTGAATGAAAAGTAATGCCTCCACCTTCATAACTCCTCAACAGATGGCAGTACTGGTATGCGGCAGGTACTGGCTTGTTCAGCTGACTCTCCTCTACAGTTCCATTTTGGGGGGAAGCCTTAGCATTGAATGGTTGTGTTGTTAAAATGCAAAATATGGAACCCTGCACAGACGGTCAGTCAATGCGACTTAAGCAACGTGCAGTCATTGAATTCTTGACAAGAGATTCATCAGAGAATGCAAGCATGGTGATTGTGTTGATGTGAGTACTGTGCATCATTGGGCAAATAAGTTTAAAGATGTTGAGGTGAGACCTTCTGCTGTCAAGAATTCAATGACTGCATGTTGCTTAAGTCGCATTGACTGACCATCTGCGCAAGGTTCTATACTTGGCACTTTAACAACATAACTGTTCAATGATAAGGCTTCCCGCCAAAATGGAACTCTAGAGGAGAGTCTACTGAACAAGCCAGTACCTGCTGCATACCAGTACTGCCATCTGCTGAGGAGTTACGAAGGTGGACGCATTACTTTTCATTCAACCCTCGTATAAGAAAATGTGACCTTTCAAAAGATGTGGACTAAAGACAGACAAGTTGAGTGTCCCTTATCTGAAGGCATCCCAGGTGGGCCGGTGGCTTCCCACGGCCCGGGAAAGGTAAATTCATGCATTATTGCTTAGTGAGTCAGGAAGAGGACACAAAGTATCACTCTGAAGAGGTGAAGGTTACAATTGAATTAATCTTTATTTGGGATTTGGTTACAATGTTTGGGCTGGGGAAAGAAGCGAAAGGAGAAAGCACAAGGCTGCAAAGAGTCCCTGGTTGAGGCAGCTGCTGGGGCATATTTCATCAGTGTTGTCCCAACTGAGCATCCAGGAACTGCGGAATTCCCTGTGGCTGGTCAGATCAGCTTGAAAGCAGGGGCCTGGGGCGCCCTCGCCATCAATACTCCCAGGAACTGTGGAACTCCCTGCTGCAGTCAGATCAATTTGAAGGCAAGGGCTTCCGTGTTCGATGACAGGATCAGAAATGTTTGGGATTTTGGACTTTTTAAGGATTTTGGAATACCTGAATGTGTTCTATGTGTTGTCAAACACACAACCCCCACCCCCAAGGATTTATAGCTCACCAAGGGCATCAAAGCCAAAAGAAATAAAATATTTTCATTTTCCCTTCCTGTGGAGAATCCGCAACCCTGTAACAACCCTAGCATCAGCCGATTCCCTTCAAAAGTCTTTTAATATAGGCGTCATCGGTGGAGGTAACAGCCCTCTGACAACTTGGAACAGCTCAGCCGGACAGTTCTTTGCGGACACAATATTGGCCACAAGAAACGATTTCTGTGCGGCTTTTAATGCTGCGTCATAGAGCCTTAGAAAGACGTCCAGACGTGTTTGAGCTGATCCGCTACACTTCTGACGCCACACGCAATCTAGTCTCCTCTTCTTTCGCTTCATCGCTGCCAGCTCCTCAGTGAACCAAGGAGCTGGTTGTGGGTGAACTACAACCCCCAGAAAAAAAAGGTCAATTTCCCCCCTTTCCCCCCAACCCCACCAGTAATCAAAATTGGGCACATCAGGTCTATGTGCCAAGTTTGGTGCAGATCCATTGGTGTTTGGGCTCATAGTATTCTCTGGATGTAAGTGAACTACAACTCCCCCAAATCAAGGTGAATTTTCCCCAAAGACCTCCAGTATTTTTTTTTTTGCTGCTCCAAAATGTTGAGACCAATTCCCCTCAGAACTCACCAGTATTCAAATTTGGGCCTACTGGGTATGCATCCCAAGTTTGGTCCAGATCCATCATAGTGTGTCCTGGATGTAGGTGAACTACAACTCCTATAAATCTCTCCAAAGACCTCCAGTATTTTTGTTGGTCATGGGGTTCTGTGTGCCAAGTTAGTTCCAGGTCCATTGTTAGTGGAGCTCTTAGACTGCAGGTGAACTATACACCCCAGTACCTACAACTGGGATAGAATCATAGAATCAAAGAGTTGGAAGAGACCTCATGGGCCATCCAGTCCAACCCCATTCTGCCAAGAAGCAGGAATATTGCATTCAAATCACCCCTGACAGATGGCCATCCAGCCTCTGTTTAAAGCTTCCAAAGAAGGAGCCTCCACCACACTCCGGGGCAGAGAGTTCCACTGCTGAACGGCTCTCACAGTCAGGAAGTTCTTCCTCATGTTCAGAGGGAATCTCCTCTCTTGTAGTTTGAAGCCATTGTTCCGCGTCCTAGTCTCCAAGGAAGCAGAAAACAAGCTTGCTCCCTCCTCCCTGTGGCTTCCTCTCACATATTTATACATGGCTATCATATCTCCTCTCAGCCTTCTCTTCTTCAGGCTAAACATGCCCAGTTCCTTAAGCCGCTCCTCATAGGGCTTGTTCTCCAGACCCAGGGATGTATAGTTCACGGTGAGTTCTCCCCAAAACTCCTATAAATCACGGTGAATTCTCCCCAAACCTCTCCAGTATGTTCAGTTGCTGATCAATGCTGCTCTGTTTGCTGTGTGCCATAGAAAAGAATAGGAAAGGGTTAAGAGAGAGGCAGTGGGCGGAGTCATGTAAATTCCACACCAATGGAGAGAGTCAGGAACACTGGGGTGCCTGTGGTGGATATTTCAGTTATTATGTTCATAGCTAGATAGAAGATGAAGACTTTCTGTATAGTTATATTTAGTGCACTAGCCATCCCCTGCCAGGCGTTGCTGTGGCCCAGTCTGGTGATCTGGAAAAGAAAGTAATGAGAAAGTGTTGGTTTCTAATATATGTAATTTCTTTATGCTTGTGGGTAAACAGTATTTCTTGTTGTTTCTTTGTCAGTGTTGATGTGGAGATGTCTGGTTTGCCTACTCTGGAATATGCAACATATCATTGTCCTTCTTTAGGGGTCCCTTTCAAATCTATGATACTATATCTATCTCTGTGTGTGAATCATATATATCTATCTATATTATGGCTGGATGGCTCTTTGTCAGGAGGGCTCTGATTACATTTTCTTGGCCTGGTGAAGAGAGTTGGACTGGATGGCCTTAAGTATTTTCTGTTGGTCATGGGGGTTCTGTGTGGGAAGTTTGCCCCATTTCTGTCGTTTGTGGGTTTCAGAATGCTCTTTAATTGTAGTGAACTATAAATCCCAGTAACTACAAATCCCAAATGTCAAGGTCTATTTCCTCCAAACTCCATCTGTGTTCATATTAGGCATATGGAATTTTTGTGTCAAGTTTGGTCCAGATCCATCATTGTCTGAGTCCACAGTACTTACTCTCTGGATGTAGGTGAACTACAACTCCCAAACTCAAGGTCAATGCCCACCAAACCCTTCCAGTGTGTTCTGTTGGTCATGGAAGTCCTGTATGCCATGTTTGGTTCAATTCCATCATTGGTGGAGTTCAGAATGCTCTTTGATTGTAGGTGAACTATAAATCCCAGCAACTACAACTCCCAAATGTCAAGGTCTATTTCCCTTAAACTCCATCTGTGTTCATATTTGGGCATATGGAATATTCGTGCCAAGTTTGGTCCAGATCCATCATTGTTTGAGTCCACAGTGCTCTCTGGATGTGGGTGAACTATAATTCCCAAACTCAAGGTCAATGTCCACCAAACCTTTCCAGTTTTTTCTGTTGGTCATGGGAGCCCTGAGTGCTAAGTTTGGCCCAATCCCATCATTGGTGGAGTTCAGAATGCTCTTTGATTGTAGGTAAACTATAAATCCCAGCAACTACAACTCCCAAATGACTTGAATAATAATAATGATAACAATAATAATAATGAGGAGGAGGAGACATATGTTTTCATATAGTTTTTTTCAAAAATCTAGCATTTCTACCCTTATTTAACCTTGTATTGTTTTAAATGTGTGGAAAAAAGCAGGAGGAATAATAATGAGGAGCAAGGATTTGAACTCAGAGGTTTCGTTGCCTAGCAACAGAGAAGGGAAAATGCCCTTTCCAAAATGGCCTCCGTGGAATGCCTCTCTGAGGAGCACCCAACATGGCGGACAACACACGCCGTAGATGGGCATTTTCATTGCTTCTTCCTCATGCCACACTCAACATGTCCGACTGGTCATGTCACCGTTTTTTTTAGCGTGGCTCCAAAACGGCGTCCCTTTTTCTTCTTCACTCAAGATGGCGGCCGTTTCGTTCCCTAACGCCTTTTGGTTCCCGAGCCGGACGTCTCTTTCTACCAATCATATTCAAAAGCATTTTGGGCGTGGCTTTCGAGTTGCCAAGGCAACGGGGCCTAGAAGCGATGGATGGATTCTGAGGCGGCGGAGCTGCTCAGATTCTCAGGTAAGAAAGCGAGCGGGGGAATGCCCAGTGCGCGTGCGCAGAGGGAGCCGGG